ATAAAATCCGGTTCAGTACCTACGAATGTAGTCCCAGTCTATTTTTAGATCACTTTTTCCGGTCTAAATTTGGTGGTGATACTAGAGTTTGATTTTGGCATTCTTGGTAAGGATTTAAAGGCAATTGATTACTCTTTAAAATGTGAGCTTATGGTGTGGTTGTCTGTGTGTATTTCGGCGACAGTGCACATTGAGTAATAAGGTCATGGTGATGATCCGGAAGTAAAATCTGTGTTCCGTTGCCTGGTGTTTTGTTTACAATTCAGCCTCTCAAAAAAATGCAGGTCAACCCTTGACAAGAATTAAACCGTAAAGTCTTCTTTGAAGGTATTTTAGATTAACATATGATTTGTATTGATTGTCACACAGTGGAAAGTTCAGTACTGAGGAACAAATGTAGAGAACATATAGTAAAATTAATTGTGTACTATGGCCTGTCAGTAAAAACTTGAAACTGATATAAATTTTTTATTATTAATGACATATACATGAAATTTTAATGTGTTATGTATATTGACTTTAAAAATATAAAAATGAAATTAGAAGTAAAAAAATAATTTCAATTTTAAAAATTTAAATGAAATTTAAAAAACAATTAAAAAATAAAAAAATTTCCACCAAGTATACACATATATAATATTTTTTGGGAATGATATTAAATGATATCAGCATATATATACTCCTACACCATATACAAGCTCAAATGATGGATATTTGTCACATTTGATCAGAGAAAATATCTTTATTAGTCAAAATGAGACCCTCATTTAAAATACATGAAGACAAAATTCTACTTTGCTTTGTACCTTTAGGTCATTGAAACTATTTATTTGGGGTTCAAACAGGTAATTTATGTGTTTATGATGGGGTGACTTCCTGAGTAACACATATCTGCTTGTATAGCTATCAGTAATTGTTTATAACCATAGTTATAGGGTATTTAGTGAGAGGACAGAGATGAAGACTTTATACTAGAACCTGTTCAAGTTCTCTACAAAATCATATTAAGCTGTCAGAGAATGAAATACAGGTCAGAGGGGTAAAATATACTTTACCCTGGTATATTTACCATTGCATGTAAGAAAACAGCAAAATGATGTAAGTTGAACACAGAATGCATTCCATTTTATTGTTCAGTTTCTTTAAGATGTTGATTGATGTAGTGCGACATTGTAGCCTAGATGATATTATGGGAATTCTCATGATCCATTTTGCTTTATGCATTATTAATGACCAATAATATTTGTTATCTGACACTTTAAAGATTACATAAGTAATATTCAAACAGATTATTTGAATTTGACTTTCTACAACTGATCCTAACATAGTTACATAGCTGACATGAACAAATATGCATATATTTTGTAATGTTTGGAATCAAAAGTTGACATTGTTAGGCTGACATGGTACCTATAGTGAATCTGTAAGGCTCAGTTTTGATTGTGTGCACTTAAAATATCCCAAGATGTTATTTTCATCATGAATATGCCTCTGTATGGTAACACATTTCAATTTAGTACTTTGACAGAGGGCGGTATTGCAGCATCAGCTGATATTTCATTCCATTGAATCATTGAATCATTGAACTTAAAACCTTGGTAGCCAAGACTCTTAAAAATAGACTAAACATATTCAAACAGATTATTTGAATCATGTTTGCACATGTGATTTTAACAAGTACATTGCATATGTCCCACACATGCAAATATCCATCCTTGTTTACAAGTTTTTGGGATGAAAATTTCACATTTAGTTGATGATATAGGATCTATTGGTACCTATAGTTGATCTGTGTGGCCACATTTTGCTATATTCACTCACAATATCTAAAATTGTTTTTTCCTTCATGAATAGGATTGCATATAGTAATAAATTTTAATTTGGTACATTGTCATTTGACTTTCCACTATACTGGTATGTATCAATGTTTGCACCAATGATCAAACCTCACCGTTCCAACATTGCCTTAAACTTTATGATACATACTCTACCTGATTAGTTATTTAACCTGTAAATGGCTAAATATGCTTGTAGAAACTTCATCTATTTTTAGGATGCATTTGTCACTTTAATACATGCCCATTGCTTCACATCTTTGAGTGTCACTCTATCAAGTTTACCTTTTTTAACCATATTTGGAACCTGAATGTTATATTGAAATCACCATATCTAACACATTTTAACTTCATTTGCCTACATCTTCCTTTTTTTTAGAATTAAGTGAAACATGTTATATATTTTCAGGTCTAGTCTGGTATCTGAAACAAAGTATTAGAGTTGGATCAATTTGGAAGCTCTCCAGTAGTCCAATGGTGATAGCAAGGTCTCATAAGGACATGTGCAGTGTGCTGCTATAAGTGACCAAGATGAGTTCATATCAGTACACTGATATACAGCATCTCAAAGACATTGCTTAGATCTTCATGAGAGAGATTCGCATCTTTTTTCAGTAAGGTGAAACTGTATTTTCATATTGCATTGTTGACTTTTGTAGTTATCGGCATTAAAATGGAATGCATATTTGCTATAAAACATGGTAGTGGTCCCATCAAAACTTTAAATTTGAGTGGGATATTAGTTATACAAACAACTGTCCAAGTACCTGAAACAATAAATGTGGAACATAGTACCTGTCATTGTTTCTTTAGTATGTACACCTATATGCATCTGGATAGGCATATTGCAATTTGCTGTCAAAATCACTGTGAGCTATCATGCTTCAGTACCCCTGGGATTAATATTATCAGTTGTACAGACCTAAACTACCATTTGTTTTAAAGACCATTCATTATCAACATTGCTGCCTTAAATTTGTCAAACTGAATGTCATAACTTGTATGAAAATTTATTTTTTGTAAAATAAAAAGTTTTTAAAATTTATATATTTTTTAAAATTTTCATTAAAATTTAATATATGAATATTTTTTAATTTCAAGACTATTTTCAGACAGGCCTTATCAAGTATTACAATTAGGTTTTTACTGCATTGAAAAATTCCTATAATTAAGGAAGATATAGCAAATTTAGTTTTGGTTTCTTAAGAACAATTGGACCTCAAACTGCACCCTATAGAACACCAGCACTACACACTTTCTGACAGCTGTCACATGTCTTGTTTGCAAGGAAATTTCAAAAGATTTTATGTATGAAGTTGAAACAGTAGTGGCATGCAAAATAAAATGCAAATATAAAAGTTTGACAAAAACATTGACCCTTTCAGGAATCGGTACACAATTAATAAAATCCGGTTCAGTACCCACGAATGTAGTCCCAGTCTATTTTTAGATGACTTTTTCCGGTCTAAATTTGGTGGTGATACTAGAGTTAGATTTTGGCATTCTTGGTAAGGATTTAAAGGCAATTGATTATTCTTTAAAATGTGATCTTATGGTGTGGTTGTCTGTGTGTATTTCGGCGACAGTGCACATTGAGTAATAAGGTCATGGTGATGATCCGGAAGTGAAATATGTGTTCCGTTGCCTGGTGTTTTGTTTACAATTCAGCCTCTCAAAAAAATGCAGGTCAACCCTTGACAAGAACTAAACCATTAAGTCATCTTTGAAGGTATTTTAGATTAACATATGATTTGTATTGATTGCCACACAGTGGAAAGTTCAGTACTGAGGAACAAATGTAGAGACCGTATAGTAAAATTAATTGTGTACTATGGCCATCACCCACCCATTACTACGGCCCAGTAAAACGTGTGGTGATTAGTCTGGTATCCTGCTTAGTATGCTTACTGCGTTGCAGTCCGCTATACTATAGGACACACGGTACTAATTCAATGGAAGAACTGTGAACCAGTCTAGAAATGGGTGAAGAAATAATAGAGTATATACGGGTTTGGTGGTCCATAATTGGTTAATAATGAAAAGTAAAATTTTATTAAAAATATCTTTTGAAAGCTTATCCTATGTATAATTTTTAAAAAAATATAGACAAATTTCTATTGATGCAATTTTAGTATTTTTAAAGACTTGACTTAGGATTACTCAATAATGAAAGTAGCACTTGATTCGCTTGGTGCTGAATCAATAACATGGACTTCATGCATATGTAGGTCAAGAAAATGCTGCGGCTCATGTGGTGTTCTCCACACAGAAGCTTGCACCAAGGATAGTTGTGCATGGAGAAATATAGGTTTGATCATCAGTACCCAGAAATTTTAAGTTATTGAATTTTAAATATGATGGTGTTTCCATATGTTTACTATGGGAATTGAATTAGTACCGTGACTCCTATACCATAGTGCAATGCAGGGCGCATACTAAACAGGGGACCAGACTAGTGTAGGGTCATGCGATCGTGAGCCTTTAAATTTTCTCTTGATTTCATTAATTTTTGGAGTATTTGCTAAAATCTAATACCATTGTGTCAAAGGCACCTCCACACTTCAAATTTGTATTGTCAAAGTTGTCTTCCCTTTGATGTCTGCAACAGATCAATGGGTAGGACATCTTTATAATTTATCTCTTTATGAAAGCAACCTTTCATTATCATCGTCGACAGAACGTATATCTAATGGCGGATAATTGGATTACATTATACCCTGATTATTTATACCCAAACTGTGTTCTGCGACGCCATCCCAAGGGTCTACCGGTATGTTGTTTGAAGTTGGATTTGTCTTATAAGCGGATACATAGGGTAGCTTTTTGCTGTGATCTAAAGACATTGTATGCACACCTTGATCACACGTGAACTTTTAACTCACATGGTGTGTGTGTGTGTGTGTGTGTGTGTGTGTGTGTGTGTGTGTGATTTGGATTTTTAACGTAGCTTTTTCAATGTTTCAGTCATATCGCTACGATATCTGCAGTGTGGCAGTTTATATTGATGTCTAGCACTGGGGCATCATCCGTAGACATGTAGCAAGATGTCCTACCCAGACACCAGTCACATTATCCTGACACCAGGCCGACCAGTCTTAACACTAACCTCTTAAGCTGAGTGCCTAGCAAGGCAGCTGTTAATGCCATTTTATAAGTATCTGGTATAACTCGGCCGGAGTTCTAACCCGCGACCTCTCGCATTTGAGGTAGACGCTCTAACCACTAGGCCATTAGAGCTGTAACTGACATAGTTTATTGTTTGCAATTTTTTCAGAGATGACTACTTCAACAAGAAGAACGAGAAGAAAAAGACTGTTGTATGAAAACGTTCAAGGAAACCCCAATTAGTAGAATAATATCATCATTGAGGAAAACACAGGTGAAGACCAAAAGAAACCACGGTAGACATTTAAAAATTTTGGAGTGTTAATTCCTCGTATCAATGAAAGAATGCCATGTGTAAGCACCGTTATATCTTCAGAAAATTGTATAATTAAATTTACTTGTAAACAATGTAAGTAGTGTATCAAACATTTTACCGCAGACATAAGGCGTATTTATAATTTTAAAAAAAAACAGTCATTAGAACGTGTACCCTGTTTAAATGAAGGACGGCTGTGGAATTTGCTGAATTCAAGTCAAGAACAATTATTACAAAATCAACAAGCGTTGAATATTTGACGTGTAAAATTTTTTTGCGCTGAACGTTTGTGATAAATTCGTTCACATCTGCGGTAGATGAAGGCACTATGAGCAGATACTATTATCATTAACGTCCATACGATATATTCTGTTTGTCACTGCTGTTGCCGTCTTTCATTTTGATATACATTCAGTGGCCTCACGAGGAGGGGGTGCGGACAGCAACGGGTGATACCATCAGAGGGGGTGACACCAAAATGGTTGTCTATAAAATATTTGTATATTTGTGCAGGAAGGAGGCACATGGAGGTAACACCATGAGTTACCTCACATGACTGTCTATAAAATGTTTGAATTTTTGTGCTGGAAGGAAGTCCATGGGAGTGACATCATGAGTTACCTCATAAAATTTATGAATTTGTGTGCAGTAAGGAGGTCCACGGAGGTAATACCATAAGTTACACCAACCCTACTGACGTATGTATGTATGTATGTATGTATGTATGTATGTATGTATGTATGTATGTATGTATGTATGTATGTATGTATGTATGTATGTATGTATGTGTGTGTGTGTGTGTGTGTGTTTATTCTCGGTTACCC